GGAGTCTGTCTATCCTTGCGCTTATGCTATTTCAGTGAGTTATTTGCATGCGATGTCAGCCACAGGAAAGTTTGGATATGGACCCCAAAATACACTGTAACACTGTGGTTTGGGTACTCTTCTGGGACACTGGAGAGGAGGGCTAAGCTTTCTTTGGCAGAGGAGTCCCTGCAGTGGGTGTAGTGCATCTTGGATAGATGTCCTCTTCAACAGACTTCTAAATAAAGACATCTCTCTTTTTGACCTCTAGTTGAGTGATTTTGGTCCTTCACTTGTAATTTGGCAGGCATAGCTCTAGTGCTTATTGATACGTGTCTTTTAGCTAATACCCAGAGAACTTGTCATTTTTCTTTCCATCAAGTTACTTTAACTTTCACTTTGTTTTTCTTTATCCAGTTCTTACTATCTCTTTTGAAACTTCTGGATTTTGTTACTTATACTGTGTATCTATGTAAGTTCTATACAGTTAAATGATTTCAGCTGCCTTTCTCCTGTTCCATTGACAGAATGGTAAACACTGTGAAATCGTTTGGGAAAAGATTAAGACAAAAATCAGCTGAAACTTGCCGCAAATGTTTTGTGACTGTGTGTTTTTAGGATTTTCATTGTGTAGAAAATATCAACTTCAAAGCATGCTGGTTGTGTTGTGATGAAAAGTGTTCAAGATTGAAATCCCCACAGGCTGGAAAGCTGCTGTAGAGAAGCAGTGGTGTGGCAGAAGACACAGTCAGCACTGATCACAGTCTGAAGACTTTGGTTCTTGCATGGGCAAGGGAACTTCTTTTCTGATTGCTGGAATCTGATGCCTGGATATATTATTCTTGATTAAATTTTTTTGCTCACTCTGGGAGGGTTCTGACTCATTGGCTTCTACATTTTTAAAATGAACTGAGTTTTCAGAAAACTACAGATAGTGTTTTTTTGTCTCAACAATTTGTGGAGGTTCATAAGGTAATGACCCCTTGACAACACATCAGTTTTTCCATGTTACCTGATGGAAAATGGGTCATCTTATTAAAAGAATTGTTGCTGCACTGCCTTGAGTAGGTCAGAACAAAGATTGCTCTAAGTATGGTTTCTAACTATAGGTAATGGCTAGAATGCTTGAAGCTCATCTCTTGGCTAATGCTTACAAATGGAGAAAGAGGGGGTATTACCTGCTAAATATGTAACTGATGTTTATATACAACACCCCCAACCTCACACCTGCTGTAGTTCTCGTTCTTTTTTAGTGCCTCCATTTTGATGTTTGCATGCGTGTTTGTTGCAGTCAGCCTCTCACTGAACAAATCTTAAGGTTACTAAGTCTTCGTTTTGCCATGTGAGAACAATGGGCTTCGTGTGTACTTTAAATGTGCCATGATTGCAGGAATGTTTCCCAGGCTTTCCCCATGGGTCGGGGCATGGTGTACAAAGTAATGTTTACCTACCTTGCAGGAGGTCAAGATGTCCCAGCAGATCTGTGTTCAGATACTCAGCACCATAGAAACCTTGTTAGGTCGCTCTGGGTTTGAGTATAATGTTGTGAAGTTTTACTTCATTGATAATAGGTGGTTTTGATTTTTTTTTTTCCCCTCCTGCACAATTTGCAACGAAATTAAAACGTAGAATTAACTAGAATTGACAAAAGCCATACCATGTCATACATTAGTGATGTAGTTCCACAAATGTCCCACCTTAGAGGAGCTAATAAATAATGTGTTCATCAAAATCACTGTAGCAGGTAACGTTTCAGCAAATAGATGCTTTTTCTTGAGGTGGGGGTTGGGCTGTAGTTCTTGGGTTTTATCAGGAGTTTTTCTTCTTACAGAAAGAGAAAATAACATGTTGCAAGGTTTTTGTACTCCATCATCAGTATTAAAACACAACAACTCTTGGTAAATATTATCTGTACATATATGTTAAAATCCTTATAGCATTAGAAAGCATGAAAAATTAGGCTTAAATTGTTGGAAAATAATATTTGGTTCCTCATCACAACTGACAGAGCAAAAATTGGCAAAAAACCAGCTTGACTGCTTTCACTTATGTAATTATTCTTTCCCAGAAAGTAATGATTTGTGAGTTTCTGGCACAGGGTTGTGTCACTGCTTGGAAGATAACAGTATCTTCCACGGTGTGCTTCGTGGAGATGTGGTGCATGTTTTACCCTAGCTTTGCAAGAACGATGGTTGTCAGAGTTCCTTTTAAGCCTTCCCAGATTTCACATGTGACTCTTCTGGAGAGAGGAGCAGTCAGCAGGTTTCTAGCCTATGGCCTGTCTTTGTGAGTCACTTGTTGGGAGAGTTCCCTGTGCTAACGCTGGTTATGCAGGACACCTAAAACCGCGTGGACAGCCAGTGTGCAGAGCCAAGTCTTCCCTTGTTACCTCCGCTAGCTTAATGGGAAAGCATTTTGTGTTTTAAAACTTACTCAGCATAGTTACAGAATTTCAAACGAGGAGAAAAACATGCAACCCACTACATTATTAAGAAGTCTCATGTTAGTTATTGAAAAGCTGTAAGAAACTATTACCAAACATATATTCTCCTGTAAAGTAAAAACCAGCCTCCAGGTGTTATGTGTGAACACACAAAGCGGGAAAAATCTTAACATTACAATTTGCATAATAGTCATCCTGCTTGTCCCAAATGCACTGGGGAAGAGAGTTGGTTTCCTTATTATGTTTTCTGAATTTCTTGTATGACATCCATCATCCCTTCAGGACTGTTGTTCCCATTTGTACTTCATTGGGCTTTTCAGCTGACAAATTACCTTTTTTGGCCATGTGTTGGTTTTTAATATGTTTTGGATATTTATCATCCAGGATGACTTATCTGTGCTAATCAGAATAGGAAAGAAACATGGTAAGATTTTGATGATGCCTTCTAGAGTAGCTACTAAAAATTTGTCAGGACAGTTGTAAAATAATTAAAACCTTTCTTGCTAAAATTAGGCTTTTCTGGTAACATAAACTGTTAGGCTTGCTGCTAAAATCGCTCTTCAGCCAAAGAAGTGCCATCTTCCTTCAAATTGTGGTTCATGCTTCCCATAGGATGGCCCTAAATGAGTCCATCCGGGGAACATTTTTCTCATTTTTGGACCTACAGGGAAATTCATTTATGAATTGAAGACCAAAGATCAGGTGGTGGTTCTCAACACACCTGGCTTTTTTTTTTTTTAGCTCGCGTTATTGCTGTACCTCTCCCTCTTGCTCTTTCTGTTTCACTTCCAGTTCATCTTTCTTCTTTTTAGTGTTGTTTAGCCATCTCTGTCCTCTGCATATCCTTGGAGAGCAGGAGCCATACCAGCACCTACAAAAGTGAGGATACTGTATGAGCCCCTTTATAATAAAATCTGTTCACGTCATGCTTGCGTTTTTGAGATCTTCAGGGAGTATCTGAGGAAGTAACCATGATCTACATTGCTGCATCCATTTCCTTTGAGGACTCTGTGTCCTGGTTAGAGATTCAGGTTTTCTAGTCTTCCTGACTGGCAAAAATAATCTTTCTAATCCCAGGCTTTATTCTACACAAGTGTTTTTTAGAAGGAGTATATTTTTTTTTTCTAGGTACTCCTATGTTCCTTATTTCTTTCCCACTCCTCTCTCCTTATGCACACAAATGGAAGCTGAAGTCACAGCAATATTCTTAGTGCAATAGCAGGGAAAGCGTGAGAAAACCAACCAGTTTAACACTTATTTCCATTCCCCACTTGATTTTGTAACTTCAAGCTCAATTACATTTTGTGTAGTTTGTAACTTTCTTTCTGATATCTGGTGTTCGTACCACTGTAAAAACAAATTTAAAATCTTGGTGTGTGGGGATTTTTTTTTTTGTTGTTACCTCTCCAACTTAACCAGCATCCCAGCAGTAATTGGCCAAGAGAAATGAAGTGATCTTACCTCCTTAAAAATGACACTTTACTGCAGGGGTCAGCGTGTCTTGCTGAAAATAAAGCAAGTGTATTGCCTGAGCTCACTCTTCTCATTTAGAATTGTCTTATCACTGTATTTAAAAACAATACAATTGAACCTGAAGTAGAGGGGAACATTTAAAGTTATTTCTAAAGGCTATGGCTGTGTTCATCTCATAGGTCTACATCATGGGAATGTTATTTAAGGTTGTACATGTACAGCTGTTAAGGCTGTACTGAAATCTGAGTTTGATATTTTGATTGATAGTGGTGTCAAGGTTGTTCTCCTTATGCTCCCTCCCTCTTAATAATATATATACATTTATAATTTGTTTCAGACTGCATCTTACGTTTGAATTCTTCTGTAAATGCTAGAATGTCGGATAGATGCCACTAAGCCTCTTCTTTGCTGTGTCAATACCCTGGAGGTGTCCTACTGGTGCTTTACTGTGCAATCCCTCATTGGTTTGGGGAGAAATGAATCCATCCTACCTTAGGTTAAACTGCAAGTGCAGTTGCATCAAAGTAATTCATAAGAGAGTGAATTAATTGTGGTATATGCATTCTGTTCATAATGAAGGACACCTTAAGAATGAAGTAGTACTTGTGTTACCAAATGCAGGTTTGAAAGCTGAGATCTAGAACAGCTTCCTGAAAAATCTGTTGGAAGCTGGTTGGTTGTGTAGTGCTTACTTTTCTTGTTCTTACCGGCCAGAGACATTAGGAAAAGACTACTAGATGAAGAATTGGACAACATAGTTTTCCTTCTCAAATACCATGTGGAAAGCTAAAAATACATTGTATTTTCCCATTCCTCTTTCTTATAGTCAGTTTAATTTCCATAGGAATGTTAAGCAGTGATCATAGGAACTAACGAGTCAATTTCTCCTAATTAAACACTCAAACTGGAAAACTTGAGTAAAAGGTATTTGGTATGTTTACACCTGCAAATCTCGCACTCAACTGTTAGAGCATTGTTACGTTTTTAGACCCACGAGCAAAAGCTGTGATACATAACCTTGTAGATCTGCGCTTTGCGTGTGTTGCTGGTATGTTTACACCTGCAAATCTCGCACTCAACTGTTAGAGCATTGTTACGTTTTTAGACCCAAGAGCAAAAGCTGTGATACGCAAGGCACAGATCTACAAGGTTATGTGTGTTGCAAGCGGGACGCGGGAGTTCCACGCAGCGAGGAGCATCCCAAGGTGGGCGGCAGCGGCAGCGTGGGCAGGCTGGGGCAGGCAGTTCTCCCACCGCACGCTTGAGGGCTCTGAAGACTGCGAGGAATGACGCAGAAGCGATTGCAGTTAAAAGATGTATTTTCACTAAATGGGTGTATTGTACCTGCATGGGGTTTAATGCTTGCTGGGCCATTTGGCTATTTGCCATAATTGGCTTTCCATTCCCTTGATTGGAATCATAGATAAAAATTTGCTAATCCACTTTCTTTGCTGAAAGTATTAGAAAAGTAATCCATCTTTCAAAAATGCTCGAACAAAATCATGTGGTATAAAGAATACTTTATGGAATAATGAGATTAATGAGAACTGTAAGGCGCACACGATTTAAAACATTTTTCTATGGTTTTAAGGGAGAAAACGCAATCTGGACACTATAAAGCCGTAATTACTTCCTTTTTTTATGCACTGCCTTTTAAATGTGCATTACCTGTTACACTTTTGTCCACACGATAAAATGTAAGTATATACTTAGGAATAAGGAACGGCTGTTTATTTGTATTATGTTGGAAAATACCTGATTCAAAGTTCTTGGCTGTGTTCTTTTCCCCCTCTCTCCTCTTCTGCCCACAGGGCATCAGAGCACGCATTTTGGAAACCCTTGTAATGCTTATTCTTCTTGCACTGCTTATCCTTGGAATCGTATGGGTGGCTTCAGCACTCATAGACAACGATGCTGCCAGTATGGAGTCTTTGTATGGTATGGAATTAAAAACCCCACTACCTAGTTTCCTTTTAATTATGGAAATGGATGTTTTTAATTAAATAATGTTTCTAATAAATGGCATGAGTATTGCACAGATTGTGAAGAAGCTGTATTAGTTTAGTCAACACCTTTTTTTTCTCTTAAATCTGTTTTTGGCATGCTGAGAAATTATATGCTCGTGTGGACATGAGGAGGTATGTTAAAAACAAGTGACCCAGATGAGAGCTTGAAAACTATCATCAGCTTTAAAATACTTGGCAGTCTAGTTGTCTGCAGGATTTTACACCGACTAATTCTTACTTTATACTTGAAAATACAATAGTTCAATCCTGAATGCTGAAGGAAAGATGTTAATTCAGTTGTGTTTGTAACAGAAGTAGCTTATTACAAATAAGCTTAATACTATCTTTGCAGACCTCTGGGAATTCTACCTCCCATATTTGTATTCCTGTATATCACTGATGGGATGCTTGTTACTTCTGTGTAAGTATTTTCCTGATTATTCCAAAAGATGAGTGCTTTTATTTTTTTTTAAAGATAAAGGAAGCTGGTTGGTTTGATTGTGGAAGTTGAGTGTGAAAATGTGGGGGGATGTGTGTGCTTTTTTTAAGTTTTATGTTTTTTTTTTTAAATGATGTTTAAATTTAGATGTAAACTTGTTAGGTTTGGGTTCTGAAGTTTGTGGACAAATGTTACCTTGTACTTTAAGTCTTTGAAGAACTTCACACCTCACCCAAAATAATTTCATTTTTTCACTTTTTAGAGCAGGTATTTGAAAAATAGGGACTCCATTCTGCAACAAAAAGCACAGTTCTAAAATGAAATGCCTGCAGGAGCTCAGTAGTACGGAGAGTGTGTTATTTTGAACACTTAGTTTGTCCTGTATTCAGTAAATGATCTTTCTCTTTTTTTTTTTAATTGAAAATCTTCCTGTATAGACAGAAGTGGGAACAGAGTGCAGTTAGCTTTCACAATCACAACACTGGCATCTGGCCAGTCCGGAGGTCAGCTACATGATTGCATGTAAAACAAATGGAGTAGGAAACCCCAACCTTAGTCCAACTGACCCTAGCCAGAATTCAGGCATCCATGTTTAGAGGAATAAGGGAGATGATGGAAGGCTCCAAATCCCACTTATAACTTCAGTCCTGCTTCGCCACCCCCAGTAATTTCTAGAAATGTGCCAAGAGGGAACAGAGTATCTCCCTGTCTAGATTATCCTGGTTTCACCTGCTCTCCAGGCTTTGGAGGTTTACAGCTAGTGTTTAGAGGGCTGAAGGGGTGAGGAATGGTAGTTTGAAACTTCCTTAAAACTAAGCCGATCTCTCTCTGAATGGTGTTGCTCACAGAGAACTCGTAGAGCTACCTTAGGTTCTCGGTATGTGGAGATTCTTAAGCCCACTTTAATAGAGGGAGGAAGTGTTAAAAAACCCCAAACCCAAAAACCAAAACACAAGCCAACCAGTGGTTCTGAAAGTCTCTCATAGGCAGTTCCGGAGCGCGGTTCACAACAGCTGCTGAATGTTTTAATGGGGAAGTTGGTTTACAAACTTTCTACATCTCGCAGTTTGTTTCAGCAGAGCTGAAAACACGGTGTGTTCTGGGGCTGTCGTAAACCAGGTCACCGAAAGGATTGGAATCAAAGGCCTGGTTTTGGAAGAGTTACTTATAATTTTTAGAAGCAAATCACTGAAGTTATTTAAAGCCCTCCAAGCTGTTGGAAGGGCAGCATACAGCGGTGGGAGAGAGGTAGCTTCATCTGGTGTTCAGCTGGCTCAGTTGCCGAAGCAGTGTTTGAGTTATTGCAGTGGTGATTCGGGGCATCACTTCCTTTCTCTTTTCTCCTTTTCCTGCAGGCTTCCTCTGTAGTAAGGGAAGACTGACTTAAGTTAGCCTTTTTGATTACTCTTGTATTTTTTTCTGTAATACATAGCAGTCATAGTGAAACACTAGTTCGTAGAAATATTTGTCATCCTCACTGTCAAATCTACTATGCTTCTCCTTTCTTGACGACTTTTATTATTATAATGGAAACTGTAACTGTATAACCTCATCCATGCTGTTACAAATTCCTTCCATCTGCTTCCATCTCCTACACACTTCAGTATTTGAAGGCCGTTTTCCCTAAACTATTGGTATTTACTAATAATTTTCTATTATCATAGTTTTGAGCCTTTCTCCCAGCAAACATATATGCACCATACCTGGGAGCCATCACGGGCTAAGATCAAGAAAGTCTGATTGTTATTTCATGGGAAAGTAACTTAAAATCCGGTAGCTGAGCCTACTGTCAGCTGAAGTTCCAGTACAATGTTCAGCACAAAGCAGCCTCATGGTCTCTTGACCTCACAGCTACACCAGTCCTGATAGATGAAATGTTCTTGAGGTGTTCTCCAGTGCTGTGCCCAGCTAGTGTCCTTCCTTCCATGGTACTGTGGTTTGCAGAAGGTGGTTGTGTACGTATTGCCTCATGGTAATGGTTCCTGGACTGCAGAAACTCCAAAACTGCACCTGGGAATTGTTTGGGAAAGTGCGAAGTGGCCCAGGGCAAGTCATGCCAGCGATAGTTCTAGCAATTTACTGGTGTAGACAATCAAGTCTTAACACCCAGGAATGTATCCTGGCACTGCCGAATTTGCTAGTGTAGACATAGCCTCTGGTGCCACGTGCTTTGAATAAATAATTGCTTGAGCAAGTTTAACATATCTGATTGTATGATGTTCCTTGTTAACAAAAAATTCAGTTATGCTCTTGGAAAGTCGCTTGTCTTGTTTGAAATTCATATGATAGCAGTGTGTTAAAGTTCATATTGACAGTTTGAAACTTGCTGTTTTCACTTGAACATCCAAATAAAAGTTGTCTTTGACTTACTGTTTTGCATAAATCACTGTTTTGCATAACCTCTCTTCCTCTGTAGTATGCACACCAGTGGGGCTTTCACGGATGTTTACAGTAATGGGTCAGTTGCTGGTGAAGCCAACAGTAAGTGTTGCACAAATCTGTCCTCACCTGTTATCTGTCAGATGGTAGAATGGCATTAGGGCACTTTCTTTTAGAATGCTTGCACTTCCACGTAATTCTGTCTTCAGTTTGTCAGTGTTTTTATAGTCAGTATTTATGTACTTGTTTAAAATTTTTCATTTACCAAAAAAGCCTGGTTTCTTCCACAGAATGTGGTTTGTTTTTAAACAGTATAGACTTCCTCTGATGTTTTTAGTTTTATGTAACTGCTACTAGCATTAACTTCTAATATTTATTGCAAGTATTGTCTGCTATGTCTGTTTTCCAAATGCCTGAAAAGTGTGGTCTTGTTCCGAGTTCAGGAGCAAAGCATACAAGGCTGAACTAAGGCTGGATGACAAGAAGGGTACCTGGGGGTACACTTAGATGGGTGAAACATAGGTGGTTGGCATCTGTACAAACTTCTTACACATAGCTACTCTACCTACTGTTTTTCAACTGAATGATGTGAGGGAGGAGAGGAGTTCGTACCATGTGCAAGTGCTCCAGTAACTTTGCTGTCACATTTCCTAGTTTGTATTTACTAAAATTTGGATGCACTCAGGTTTTGTATTTCTTATTAGTCAGTTCAACACTGCAAATACAAAGAAAACAGATAGTGTTTTGCTATCTAAACTTCAAACTCAAAGCACCTGACAGTAAGCTTCAGACTTCATTTATTTGGGTTTAGCTTCCATTAGCTATTTGTATTTGTTTGAAACATTGGCTTTTTACAAAAGTCACTTTCTAATACACTTTTTTCCAAAATCTGAAGTAATTTTTGCTTAAATAAAATTGAGTGTGAAGGTTGGTTGGTTGTTATTTTTTTCCCTAGGAGTGATTTGAATGATGTGAATGTAGGTCAGATATACTTTCATAGAATCGTCACAGAATCACAGAATAGTTTGGGTTGGAAGGGACCTTAAAGACCATCTAGTCCCAACCCCTCTAACATGGGCAGGGACACCTTCCACTAGACCAGGTTGCTCAAAGCCACATCCAGCCTGGCCTTGAACACTTCCAGGGATGGGTCATCCGCAGCTTCTCTGGGCAACCTGTTCCAGTGCCTCACCACCCTCTCTGGGAAGAACTTCTTCCTGATATCTAATCTAAATCTCCCCACTTTCAATTTAAACCCATTACCCCTTGTTCTGTCACTACAGGCCCTTGTAAAAAGTCCCTTCCCAGCTTTCTTGTAGCCCCCTTCAGGTACTGTCCCTTCCCCTATTTCCCAAGTCTCTTTTAGACTGAAACTGAATGCAAGAGCTTTAACCTGAAATGAAAGCTTTACAGATAATTTGCTTGAAGAAGTAGATCTGTAACAGAATAGAATAAACTTTTGTAGAGTTCTTATTTGTATTAGTATTGTGAAGTTCTAGACTATATATTTAAAATATAGGTTACTAGAGCAAAACATACCTGACTAAGTAAGTGCAGTCAGGTAAAAAAGTGATTTTTTTTTTCCCCATTCTCAGTCAGTTCATGTTTCTGTTTCCAAATACAGATCCTTGAAGACCTAGATGAGCAGATGTATATCATCACTTTAGAGGAAGAAGCAATTCAGAGGAGGCTTAATGGTATGCTTGTTCTGATACTGCTTCAAATGCAGTGTTTAGTGGTTCTGGTCACGAGTATTGATCACACTGTTACATAGCCTCTTCTCTCAAAATACAAAATTTCAACATCTTAGTATGTGACAGGCTTACATTTTATTACTTACCTTGTTCATGATTGGCTGTTGTGTGTTTAGTTTGCTTTGTTTTTGTTTTTAAGATGTTCATCAGCTCTATGTGAATATTCTGAGACTGAAGAAGCAAACTGAGTAGTTGACCAGACCCACCACCCTTACTGCAAAATATTTTTGACTAGTAGATGACTGTATTTTAGCCTTGTCTGAACAACAATGAACTTAGATTAGCAAGAGGCTCAACTTCCTGCATTACAAGTTTTGGGTTTTATTGGGAGAATTTTTTTCAGTTCATAATTATTTAGAATCTTTGGTAATTCATTAAATGTCAGAGCAGTCCTTTGTATTCTAGGAGCTATGTGGTGAATATAATAATTTTAATGAATCTATTAATGAATAATTACAATGATTAATTCTACAAATGTTTTAGACTATTTAGTGTTGCAGTTATGCACTTCTTTAAGGTGTTTCTGTTTTCAGTATTTCAAAAGCAGTATGAAGCTTTGGCTTTTAAGAGAGAGTATTGGAGCACCGCAGGCACCAATTAAAGAAAATATATCAATTTCATAAACCTGGAAATCATGTTTTGCAAAATCTCTTCTGAATTGCTTTTAACTGCATGGATAAGCCATCCATCCACAACTTCTACAATTGCTTCAGATTGGAAATCCAAGAAAATACTCATGTCATGACACATCCATTGTTGTGTTGTCTTATGACTTGTTTTAGCCTCAGTTTTCTTCATTTCCTGCCTTACTCTTCAGTCTTGTCATATATGTCAATCTTCTTTCAAGTCTCAGAAAAATCTGTTCAAGTTGCTTGGTCAGGAAAAGTACCTTTGATAACAGTAGAACATGGTGATTGTCTTTATTCCCGTGTTTAAAATCTGTGGAAGAGTAGTGACTTCTGTGCTAAAATCAGCCATGGTTTCAGTAAAAGTAATGTTCACCTTTGCTGTTTTGGAAGCTTAGGTTTTTATGCTGACATGTGCATATATATATATATTTATATATATTTGCATACTCATGCAGACATGCAGAAAGGTGCGTGCAGCGAGTGTCTTTGAAGCTGTGATGGGGTAATTATCATTGTTCTGAGTGCTTGATGTTAGCTAGCAACTGTAAAATATTTGTTTCTGAATATTTTATGTTGTCATGGTGATTGTGCTTATGTACAAGAAAAGCGATACAGAAACACAACCCAGTTGTTACTCAGGTACCTATTGGAACTACTGCGGAGTGGTTTCTGCTATCCAAGTGGAGAACGTGGTTGCTTAGATTGTCTGCTGGTTTCCTAAGCAGAGGTCTCTGCGACAGGTGTTTACGTTGCAATTTAGGAATACTACTTGTGAGGTGGGCCTAGTCTGTTGGTAGGCATCTATGAATTGGATCTGGATTTAGGATGTGTGGAGGTGGCTCCCCCAGCCTTTAGCTGAAAGGCTGGATTCTCTTGCAATGAATGGGTTAGTATGCAGCGTAAAGTGGAACGGCAACCCGCTCGTGTTCCACAGAGCTCTCACCAGCCTACTCGTTGAGAGGTGAAAGATGTGGGGCTTAAATGCCCTCTGACATGAGAGGGAACTGAATTCTGTTTTGCGTGCTGAGGGAATGGTATTGACACTACGGTCTGAAGGAATGCTTGGAAACCGGTTTGGTGTACAGAGAAAATTGACTTAAGCTGAGAAGTAAATAAAAATGGGAGCTTGGATATAGCATGTAGGTAGAGGGCAATGTGTCACAGGTATGAGAAGATGCTCTGCAGCACTTCTGTGTGTAACTATTTAAGTAATTTTAAGTATGGTTCTCATTTATGTTGCAAGCATGGGATGTTTCATCTTCCCTGCCAAAACTCTTTCTAATACCTACAAGTTATGCCAGAAAAAGAGACACCATTTTTGCCAGACCTATGAAAACTCATGCATAATCGTGTTTATTGCATCTTGAAAAAACTTGTACAAATGGAGTTGTAGTGCTGATTACATCAACAAATGTCGTGCTGTGATGTTAGAGGCCATCATCTCTAACAACACACAGCCTGTGTAAGTATTTACGTTGCTGTATCGGAGCAGGTACGTTAGGCTACGTGCTCCCGTGCCGTGGCCGTTGCAACTCTTCCACAGTTGTGGTAGTGGAAATGTGTGCTTCAGTAACCTTGCTGGATGATTTTGCAGTCAAGTGTTCTGAAATACATACTCCGTTTATATGTATAACCAAAGAGTTGAATTTTTATTAAGGCTGAAGAGGAGCAGAGCACAGTCACAAGCTATACTTGATGATTGGCGATGCTGATTATTTTTTAAAATTTTATTTCTTTTTTTTCTTGGTAAGATAACTGCTACCACAGTCCTGACACTGCTTTGCCCTGTCCTGATTAATACATCCTCAGAGAATGCCTGTACACAGGAAGGCTGTAGCATGAATCACTGTTCCCACTGTATAGGGTGGGTAAAGCCTCTGTTTTCAGGAGGACAAACATTTAGCTGTGTGAGCTGGTGCCCTTCTTGATTTGTATAGATGCAATGATCGTGGCAGTGATGCAGTTGATTGATAGGTTAATTTTCAAATATGAAGATCTTTACATAATACTCTAAAACTTCTTTTTTTGTGGAAACAAATTTTCTTCATTCTCAGATGTCTACAGTGTGTAACTGAAAATCAGAGGAGGAGGGAGGGGAAAGTTTGATCCTGTTATCTACCCTAGTATTTTTATCTATTGAAGAGATACTGGGCTTTGGGAAAATGTTTGTTTCCAGTGTATTATATTTCAGTACCCACATCACTCCTACAGTTGAAGAATAAAGCTGGGACTTTTTTATATTAAAAGAAAAAAGTTGCCTTCAGCTATTAGTTTTCCTGAATCCAAAGAGACGGGTGGGGTAGGATCAAAAATACTTACGTGATCAAAGTTATTGGCTCTGAAGGTATCCTTACCTATGTAAGAAAGATGAAAGGTGTTGTTTTTATTGCACGCTAGTAACAGTGTAATTTTGAACTAATTGGTGTTGAACTGCCAATCACCTAGGGGGAATGCAAATAGATACTCTTACAATTTCCTTTGAGGTACTGAAATCTTATGTCGGGGCTGGAAGAAAAACAGAATAATACCGTTAAATTGACCTTAAATGAGCTGCTTTGTGGCTTTCTTGGAGAATCCCTTCTAACTTTTCATTGCTAGTCCAAACAAGCCTTGTCTACCAATTTGATTTATTGGCTAGACAGCGCTGACATTGAACTTTGTGCGTGTTTGAAATAAAGCTAATGTTATAGAGCTTTTAAGAATTTTAGCTGCATCCTTTTCAAATACTCTTTTGACTGATCTGAAACTTTGCCTTCCCCTCTTGTAAAATATCCTTTTGTATAGCAACCTGTTGTTTGCTACTATTTTTAAGGAGGAATTATAAGAGCACTTCGACATGATTCAGAATGTCTTCTGGAGTGTCTCTAAGGGACCTAATGTGATCATGCTGGCTTTGTTGGAAAGGCTCCCATGAAAATCAGTGTTTTGAGCTCTGGATTTTTATACTGAGTGGAGGAAACAACATATATCTTGAATAAAGCTTTTCCTCAGGGACCCCTAAATCAGTTGTGGAAAAGAAAATGTCAGATGCTATTCTTTTTCAACTGCTTCCATTAAAGTTCTTGAGACTTTTTCCACTGAACTCTATAGCTATCCTTTTTCTCAACTCCTACTAATTACTCATTCCATAAAACAGATGTGTTACTTTTTTTCAGAGGGAATGCATCAGTACAAAAGCTTTATTTTTTTTACTGAAAATGAGATTAAAAAAGAACAACCCAAATTTTTATACCCCCCCAAATTACAATTACTTACTTAAAAACCACTGCGAAATTAAGCTGACATTCATTATGCAGGTACTTAAGTGAGTAGAAGTTGCTACAAGAAGACCATTTGTAGGTCTTACTGGTTAGTCCTGGGATTTGAGATATTTATGTTTGAAGCCCTGTAAATATTACCATATACACATCATGTCATTGGTATCAAAGACAAATATTTAGGTGTTGCACAGAAGCTGTGTTATATACAGGAATGTGTGTGAAAGGCACATGCAATTAAACACTTAAAAATTAATTTTTGAAACAGTTGGTTGCCTCATTGACTTGTTCAATGGAGTCAAATTACCAGTATTAATAATCTGAAAATAAAAAGAGTAAAAGTTTTAAAAAAAAAAAGTCTAAGAAATACTCTTGTATAACTTGGTTTTCAGGTAGGACCTCACTGTGTTGCTGGAATATGGAGAATGTGGGGGCTGGATGGGATGAGAAATTTACCTTTCATCTTGTATTGAGGTTGGTGGATGGATGAGCAGACTACAGCAAATAAGGAAATAATGAGACTGGACTGTAGTGATAGTGTGCCAGCAACCTAAGTGCTATTTAGTTTTTGTAGGCAAATAATCAAGATACAAGATAAAAGCCTGGACAAGACTGCAGTTTAAAGCCACAAGAGTTAATGTGACGTTTCCTAAATCTGAATTGTCACTGTGTCTTATGGTATTATACTTAGTCTCATCTAAAAAAAATGTTGCATCTGCTTTAAAAGGTGTATCTTCCACGGTGGAATACCAGACAGTGGAGTTGGAACGGGAGCTTGAAAAAGTGAAGAGCAAGAAAACAAATCTAGGTAACTTTTTTTTCTACTGTCCTTGGCTGTTTCATGTGGATTGCAGTTTAATAAATCACCTAAAGATGCCGTGTTTAGCTTGTAGCAGTCACTTGATTAATTCCAGTTTGTTCTTAACCAAATCTGTCATAGTTTATAGAATCACAGAATGGTTTGGGTTGGAAGGGACCTTAAAGACCATTCAGTTCCAACCCCCCTGCCATGGGCAGGGACACCTTGCACTAGACCAGGTTGCCCCAAGCCTCGTCCAGCCTGGCCTTGAACACTTCCAGGGATGGGGCATCCACAGCTTCTCTGGGCAGCCTGTTCCAGTGCCTCAGCACTCTCACGCTGAAGAACTTCCTGATATCAAATCTAATTTGTTCTTAAAAATACATCACATGGGATCATTGTGTTCCTCTAAAACAAATTTAAGTAGGGAGTCTGGATCTTGCGTTTAACATAGTTTTAGAGGAAGTGTAACACTCCTGACTTAGGAGCTCAACAGCACTGTTTTTTTCACATATGATATGCTTATGATTATTTGGGATAATCTAATACATCACTTTTCTCTGTTTTTCAATTACTTCTATAGTATTCAAATTTTGGTTAAGAACAGTAAAATAATTCTTAGGTTTGTGTTTTTTAAAACTTAAAAGCGTTACTTTTGGTAATGGCAGCCACCCAACAGGAATCTCCTTACTCAAAGACTTGCAGGATTTATCATTTATCAGTGTGTTATGTGCAAAACTAAGACTGTGGTAAGCAAAGGTTGTTGGGTTTTCTTTTTAGACATACTAGTTATGTCCAGTCCAGTGAGTTACTCTTGTCTTTCTTATGTTACAAGAGGAAAATACTGTTTAAATACTTGAAATTCCCTTCTGTGCCTTTAGGTTGTACTAAAAGATACATGTCAACAGCATATTTTTAAATTCAGTATTGATTAAACTTTGTGGAACTGCTGTGTGCCGGGAGGGGGGAGGGAAGTTATGGTGAAACATGCCTGTAAACAAGAAAAAAAAAATCTGTGTCTCTGCCTCCACAGCCTTTCTCTAAAGAAGCTTCATGTCTTTGGCATTGCTCTGTACAGCTCTTCAGAGTGGATATTTTTATGAACTGGCTGGTATTGGTTCAAGACAAGATGACTCTAGTGACCTATGGTTACAACCAGAGTTTATAGATATCAATGACTTTTACTTGTTGTATTTGGTTTTAAGTTCCTGTTGTTCTCTTCTGAACAGAACGGCGGAAAAAAGCTTCTGCTTGGGAAAGGAATTTGGTCTATCCAGCTGTCATGATATTGCTACTGATTGAGACAGTAAGAGTTTGTCTTTTTTATTTTTCCCCAGCAAAAATAAGAATAATTCTTTGGTCATTTGGGGGAAAAGTTTTAGAACTTGAGTGATATGTCTTTAAGCAACAAACTTTATATTCTTTCATTTTAAAAAGAACTTAACTTTATGAAATCTGGTGAGGGTAGATGTATACATTTAAAAAATGTGGAATACTTTTAAATAACAAGACTGTTTCCATTTCTTTGCAGTCCATCTCAGTCCTCCTAGTTGCTCTCAACATTCTTTACCTGCTGGTTGATGAGACCGCAATGCCAAAGGGCTCAGGGGTAAAGTAAACTTCTGTTACGATTTTTATAACTTACACTCAATTTAAGAAACTATGTTAAAGTCTGAAAAATCTGTCTTTTGTGTTCCTCTTAGAAAACACAACATTTTGTCCTCCTTTATGATAAAAATACTTGAAGAAAGTAAGGAACAGCAAATTGAGTAGCTGTGTCTGTTTTATTGACTTGGGAATGCTTTCCCAGCATGGAGCTGTATCTGAGCTTGCAGAGGGCTAAATGATGTTCATAGAATCATAGAATGGTTAGGGTTGGAAGGGACCTTAAAGATCATCTAGTTCCAACCCCCCTGCCATGGGCAGGGACACCTTGCACTAGACCAGGTTGCTCAAAGCCACATCCAGCCTGGCCTTGAAGACATCCAGGGATGGGGCATCCACAACATCTCTGGGCCACCTGTTCCAGTGCCTCACCACCCTCTCTGGGAAGAATTTCTTCCTGACATCTAATCTAAACCTCCCTGTTTTCAATTTGTACCCATTCCCCCTTGTCCTATCACTACAGGCCCTTGTAAAAAGTCCTCTCCCAGTACCCTTGTAGGCCCCCCTCAGATACTGGAAAGCTGCAATGAGGTCTCCTCGGAGCCTCCTCTTCTCCAGGCTGACCAAGCCCAGTTCTCGCAGCCTTTCGTCATAGCAGAGGTGCTCCAGCCCTCTGAGCATCTTCGTGGCCCTCCTCTGGACTCTCAAATGATGGCCACTCTGCCTCTGGGATTTGGAACAACTAGAACTGTCGTCTTTTGAGGCCACTTACTTTCGTTTCCAAAGTCATGGGGTGTGTGTAAAATGCAGTGTTGTGGGTAGATGCCACGTGCAAAAGATGTGAATCGTTGCACCTTCTGCCTTAGTAATCCGTGGCACTCAAGTGACAAAGCTGTCTGCTGTGGTCGCGTAGGGTGGGGGGAGCATTGCAGGCTAGAACATCAGAATGCCCCTTCTGTACTGAACTGAGAAAAGGCTGTATTGCATGTAAGATAGTAGGTTTTTTTTCATCCTGGTGGAAGTTAACTTTATGAACATTTGTGTGTATCTTATAAAATTACACAAAGTATTTTTCTCCTTGTAGGGACCTGGAATAGGAAATGCCTCCCTATCCACCTTCGGTTTTGTGGGAGCAGCGCTTGAAATCATTTTGATTTTGTATCCTTTCTGTAAGAATTCTGTCTGTTAACAAGTATTCTGTCTAGTTTTCTGGGACACTGGTAATTTACTAAGACACTTGCCTGGAAAGAAGAAAGATAGGTCAGCCATTCTCAAGCACCTCAAGTATTTTTGTTTGTGGTGGGTTTTTTTCCTTTGGTTCTTAAGACTTTTAGGACAATTCTAAGAACTTGAGTGGAACTTGCATTCCTTGGAGGTTCCTTTTTCCTTGATTCTCACAGCTATCTTATGGTATCCTCTGTCGTCGGCTTCTACAGTCTGCGTTTTTTTGAAAACTTCACTCCCAGGAAGGATGACACAACTATGACAAAGGTAAGGTAAAGTCTGGGGTGGTGACGGCCCCCTCCTCTCTGTCTTGCCACCCAAGGCAAACTGACTCTCTTAGTAATTGCCCTGAATGGCTCATTTGCAGTGATCAGTATTTGTTTGTAAGCTTGGTAAACACAAACTGGAAGATTTTCAAAATGCTGAATGAGTGGGAAAAAGGATGTGCTCTGTTTAGTTTGGATGGCATCCATTCACTTGTAAAAAGCCGGGAATAGCAGAGCTTGTTAACTAGCTATAGAAAAGCTAGTGAAAGAACTTTTTTCAAAGGAAACGTATTGCTAATGAGTAACTTTGATTGTGCTAACTGTACTTCAGGGAGCTTGTTTGAAATCTGAAGAACCTGGTTGCCAGAAGTAATACAGATGAAGTAATTCAAATTTGAATAATTAAACTAAGACTGAGGAGGTCTATTCAGCAATGTTTTGCATTCTGAGGCTAATTTGACTTTCCACCATTGAGCCCTGGCTTCAGAATAAGAGATGCTGTTACCTAAAGTGGAGCAACATGCTTGGGGTTTTGGCAAAATATTCCCACTGCTGGCCAGGGGAGGTGATCAGTAACCAAGGATCAGATGTTGAATTTAATTATATTTTTAATGTGTTTCATTGTTTGTTGTTTGGTGGGGTTATTTAAGTAATGGTTAAAGACATTTTTACCATAAATTTTTGGAAGTGAGAAAGTAGGTAAACACACAGAATGGTTATGGTAGATAGGTAGTAGGGAGTTGGAATGTTCGTTTTCTTGTTTGTTTACAGTAAAGCAGGAATAGGGTAGAAATAAATAGCAAATACATAAATATCTACGTTCCTTTAGGAACTTTTCTGATTTTTTTTTTCTTTTGAATTCTGATAGCATTAGAGCTGAAGAAAGTGATCCCTTGTGAGAGAAAGTTTCAATTACTTTTTACAAAGGCCTCACAAAAACTAGAGTAAAATCTAACAGCTGTGAATTTTTTCGTACTATTTGAAGTAGTCAACAGGGACTCAATTGAAAGGAAGGTCTTTGTAATTTTTTAAATAATGCTAATCCTGCAAGCAGTTACATACAAAGCTTAAGCTGATATATCAGTCGTCTATTCTAAGCCCCTGGAATGGTTCTTTTATAAAAGTTTGCAGGAATTAAGTAAACAGTTGACGCTTTGCAACATGGTAGTTGTGAATTATTTTGAATCTAATCATAGGCAACACTTTGAATAAAAGTAAATGATTACATATTTGATTTTTTTTTTTAAACTCTTCTCTTGAGTGATCTTCATCCTGTGTAACACCATATGGAGAAGTGTGACAGAAGTAATCAACACTACCACTATGTTGTTGTAAATTGCTTTAGGTTCAGCCTGAAGAGTTAACTTTCAGGAGTTCTTTTTCATTTTGACCACCATTTTTTTTACCCTTCAAGAATACCATTTATAATTTAAATGCTGATTGTTGTTTCCAAACAGATCATTGGAAACTGTGTCTCAATCTTGGTGCTGAGCTCTGCTTTGCCAGTGATGTCAAGGACACTGGGTGAGTGAAATGGAAGTATAAAACATGGTAATAAAGGATGTTTGAGTTAAAAAAAAAACACAACACAAACGAAAACCAAACGAATAAACAAAAGAAGAAACAGTCTGTAGCTGTACCCTTCATAGCATGTATTTAATTTGCCATCACTTTAAAGAGAAGAAAGAACGTTTATGTGTGGCCTTATTTTCTACACTAACCTGAGCTGTTGGACATACACTCTACATACATGAACTGCAGAATATAGATTCTAAAAAAAGATGCTAAGCATCTTCTGGAGAACATACTCTTTTAAAAAGGTAGGTCAGATTAAGTGTCTTAAAACTGGAGATGTTGAGGATAGATATGGAGACTGGTTGTTCAGGGCAATATAAAATAGTTTCATGTTCACTGAAATTACAGTAGTCAGTTTTGAGGAAAAATATATTTGGGGATTTCAGGTATAAAATTTGGATAACGTTGAGTACAGAGTTCTTTAAAAACAATTAATGGATCTTCTTTTTTTTTTTTTAATTGGCAATGATACCAGGCTACTTTAATTTTCTCTAGAGTAATCTGCTTGCATTCTTTGTTACTTTGGTTTTCAAATATGAGAATTTGGAGTTCAGCATAGTAGGACTGAAAGTTCTGATTTTCTTGTTAAGAACTAGCAGTAGCATTTGAAGTGGGAAAACTATTTTAACCAGTTAAAAAGACAAGATGTGTTGTATCTTCACTTTTTTTAATTAGAATCCTAGAATGATTTGGATTGGAAAGGACCTTAAAGACCATCTAGTTCCAACCTTCCTGCCATGGGCAGAGACACCTTCCACTAGACCAGGTTGCTCAAAGCCTCATCCCGCCTGGCCTTGAACACTTCCAGGGATGGGGCATCCACAGCTTCTCTGGGCAACCTGTGCCAGTGCCTCCCCACCCTCTCCGGGAAGAACTTCTTCCTGATATCTAATCTAAACCTCCCCACGTTCAATTTAAACCCGTTACCCCTTGTCCTGGCACTACAGGCCCTTGTAGAAAGTCCCCTCCCAGCTTCCTTGTAGCCCTTCCAGGTACTGGAAGGCTGCAGTAAGGTCTCCCTGGAGCCTTCTCTTCTCCAGCCTGAAGACTGAGTAATCTTCAACTTGAATTCTCACAGTTAGATTGAAAAGCTACTCATTACATGTTTAAGTAGTGTAGAATGCTTGCAGCTAATGTGAATTTGACTGGGAACATTAAACAGAACAAACCAAAAATCTTCACCTCGGCTTTACGAGTCTTAAGTACAAGTTCAGGAGTTTAAGCTCTGCCCCACAGACCTGTAATGTATACCCAGTAGCTCTGCAGCTGATGTTCTTTTCAGTCAGAATACTGTCAAATCAAGAGTAGTTAATATTTTCCCTTAAACTATGCTGTATATTTTCGTGCTGTGTAGATCTAGAGGTATTGACTCTTACTAGATTTACTGGATCATTTCAATAACAACAACAAACTATAATGCATTTTGGAGGGTTGAATCTTAAAATAGACATTCTAGAGCTTATGTTTTAAAAATATGTAGTAAAATTTCACAAAAATGCAGAAGAATAAGTCAAGTATTTAAAGTACTGCAGCTTTAAAATATACCCAGTACGATAAAGATCTAAGAAGTTGAAGCAGTTCTTGCACTTAGAACAAGATGTTATGTTGAAAAATTAATTGTTTAAAATAGTGGACACAATACTAATTAAAATTCTAAGTTACTGCATGCATCCTTTGTTTTAAAAAAATAAAAATCATTGTTTGAGATTATCAGTTGATAATAAACGGATTTTGTGGAAGTAAGTATACATGCTGGGTGCATTGTTGTCTCATAGGAAACAGATTAATGGTAAAACTCCGGAGAGGGGGAAAAAAAAGACTAACAAATGAAATTCCTGAATAGTTTGCCATAGAGATAAATAAAAGAAGAAAAAAGATGGAACGGTTAACACGCAGCCAACAAATGCGCAGCCACAGCTGTCCAAACAGGATTAATAGAGTGTACAGTGAGTCATGTGGTGCTTTGCAAAAATATCAACATGTGTTGCGCTGCGTGCTACCGCCCTGTGGCACTGAATAGATGCACAGAAATAAATATGTTAAGCAGGTTCATAGTCTTTTCACTTTATTAAAAATGCGAGTTTCTAGACTATACAGAAGACACTAGGCTTTATCATTATGGGAAAGGTAAAAAAGCAGAAGTTATCTAATATACATAGTGACCCTTTTCAAATTTTAAGAATGGAGATATTTGTTGTGTTTCATAGTATTCTAATTAAATAGGTGGTGGGTGTCTCTAAGGTGTCATTCCTTCAGAACTCCAGGCGAAGTGTTTACTAAAGTAAGTTATTTTACTAAAAAGTTAACTCATCTCTCCCAGAACTTTTCAGCCTTTTCATAGTCCTTCTTAAAAAAAGCTCCCCACCAGCACCATATTGCTACCACTGTGAAACAAATTGGGAACAGAGCACTAAATAGCCAGGGATATAGAAACAAGGAATTGCAAACAACATTTAATTTTATAATATATTCCTAGGATTCTTCTTTTGATTATTATGGTTAAGTAAATTGAAAACTTACTTGTATGTACAATCTAAAAGCAGTCTGTCTTTTTTTTACCTTAAAATATTAATTTGTTAAACTCCTTGACAACTTTAGTGGATATATATTTTTCCGCTAGAGGTGTAGCTTTCTATTCAGACTGAGTAGTCTGTCAAACTGCAATCCTGAATTTTTTTTCTGTGGGCTGAGTAGACACTTCTGTCAAAGTCAGCAAAAGCTTTACAACCCTTTTCTCCCATGGACTTACAAAATGATATTGTGTCAGATTTCTCTTTTTCTGATGAGCAGTGGCTTTATTTGTAAGAGGAAAACGAATGTAACTTGTGGAGAACATTTTCCCACCCGCTCTACAGAAGCATCAGGCTTCATTTTTGTTTGTCCTCATCCCGCTTGCTTTATTGCTCTCTCTTCTGAACCCCTTTGTGCCAAGGAGTATTTTGCTTTTCCAGAGAACTCGTTACTCAGTGCTCTACCTGGTTTCTTTCTTTTCCTTTAAAGCTCTGGAAGTCTGTAGGTTCAAACTCTACTTTCCCAGTGTTCTTGTAGCTCTGGAGACTGACTAAAACACACTCTGTTTCTTTGAAAATGTTCTTACGGTCACTGGCTTCAGTTGTGAGAGCAACTCTGTGTTTATTATCCTTCCTCTGTTTACAGTTTGATTCAGTCTGTTTCTTCTTGTGCAAAGACCTGTGCTTTTTTGATATTTCTCCCTCTCTTGTTACTTTGATCATCTTCAGTCATTTTTTTTTTTGCCTTTGAAAATTATTTTCTTCATTTTGGCTTTTTTTCTTATTTACTAAATTTGATTCCCCTATTTTCTTATTTAATTGACTCCTGCTGAGTACCAGAAGCATGTGTACCCTGTAACATTGTGAGAGCTGGCTGTAAGTCTTGGCTCTCCAGGTACAATGAGACTCGTAAGTGCCAGGCTTACCCTGAAAGAAGATAACTGACCCGTCTTTCTGTTCTGTCTCTCTTCACTTATTATCACAGTTGAAGTCAAAATTCTTAAAAGCCCCCAAACCCTTTTAAAGTAGAATGGTAGAAAACTCGCTTCCAGGAACTTGAGAGCTGGGATTATTTTCTGATTGCCTAGTTTTCTGCCCCCATTTTAGTTGTGGGGTGAGGTAAGCTTCCTTCCTCAGCACCACTGCTCTCAGCTGCGAGAGCTCCCATGCCCGTGACATCATCAGTGCCAAAAGTGAGGTTTTTGGTAATATAATGGCTCATCGATCCTAGACAGCTGTCACTTGGGTATTGTCTCAATATTCTACTCGTTATTCAGATCAGTCCTTCATGTAGACCTAGGAAAGGTCCTGTGGGACCTTCTGCCTTCTGGGATGGACCCTATTCATCCCAGAAGATGGATAGGCTTGTAGACAATTATTTTGGAAGAACTTTGCTCACTTGGCGGTAGTGATCGACTTGCCTTTGGTCAGCACGGAGGCCAAGTGTCGGTGTGTACAGTCTGCCGAAGAAGAGCTGTCAGCACTGTCTTTCAGCAAAACTCTTCCCGTTGTGCACGTGCTCTGTGGCTATAGTGGTGGGGAGAGCTGGGTGAAAAACTGGTGCTGGAAAGATGGCTTTAAGCTCTGGTTTCAGAAGCTGTGGCTCTGACGATCCTTGACAGAGGCTTAGTGTTCGCTGTAAGATGTTGTGGCTCTTGCAGAAAGGCTTTTTGCTACCTGTATCTTTGAATAAGGAAGCCCACGGTGCATTTCATCCCCTCCTGGAATAGGTAAGGATTTCAGAAGCTGAGATTCCATGCATTTTTCATACTAATACTGTACACACACAATATAGATACTTTTTACATACGGAAGGAAAATTCTTTCAGACAACACACTATAAATAATGGAATTAAGTGTTTGTTTCTTTAAAAATATCATAATGATTTTGATGTGACTCTAATGCATTTTTAACAGGAATCACCAGATTTGATCTGCTTGGAGACTTCGGAAGGTTTAACTGGTTGGGAAACTTCTATATTGTTTTATCTTACAACTTGCTCTTTGCTATCATGACAACATTATGTTTGGTCAGAAAGTTCACTTCCGCGGTGCGAGAAGAGCTCCTGAAGGCATTAGGTAAGAGCACAGAACACTTAGTTTCTGTTTGAACGTTTCCTTTCTCCAGCATCGCTACCTTGGTGTGCTACTGCTGAAGTGCTGTTACAACTCAACTTTTTCTTTTGGGTGGAATTTTCTATAGGTTAAAGTGAAAATGAGAATAGCTTTTGTGTTATTTTTTTGAGGAATGTGGAGAGCTAAGGTACGACGTTGATCTTACTGATACATCTGTGTAGTTGCTGATCTGTAGTTAGATTTTTTCCACCTGTAGAGAGCACAGAAATATTCTTGCTTTTGAGCAACTGCTCCAAACTAAAACTTCAACTTCTGTGTGGGTTGGCTTTTTCTTTTTTGTTTAAAGCAAATTATCAATTACCCAAAAACAGTTTAGTGGAAGTTTTAGCTCCCTTGTTGTGATGCCTTTTTTTTTGAGCACTACATGTTCAGAAAATCTTTGTACAGAAGCTTAATAATTGGCTGAGTAAAACCTGAACTTGATATATCAATTTTGTTCAAATTGTACATTCATGTTTCTTGGCCATAGAAGATAAGGCTTGAAACATATTTGATGGTAAGATGAAATATAATAACACAAATACCCAGTATGTGTACCTTTATTAATTCAATGAAGCTCCTGTCTCTTTAGAACCTTAGAGTAGTGTTTTGCTTCAATTGAGAGGACTAGTAGGGAAACTGCAGTGTTTCTAACTGCGGATCAGTTTGTAGAGTGTGAAAGGTACTCAGGTTAGTTTTCACCAATTGCTGCTTTCCAGGGGTGTGTCTCTGGTAAACAAAATCCAGGCACTTGCTGGAGTGCTCCTCTACTGGTTGCAATCAAGTTCAAATCAGACCTAATAGACAGGGAAATACAAAATTACTGGTGGTGTGGGATTAAAACAAGCCTTTCCCTTTTGGTGATTAGTTTTTTTTTAATGGTGAGTGTGGGAGCTCCAGGGTAGCAGATTGGTGGGCCGGGGCATGTGTGTTCATCTGGCCATTGATTTTTATGCTGAAAATATTTTCAGAGAAGTTCCATTGTTGATTGAGATGGATACTTGACAGAGTATGATGTGCTTGACATTATCCCCCAGCTTTTAGTTAAGGTCACTTTTATGAGAAGAACTTGATTCCTCTCTTTCAGTTGACTCATATAATTCTAGTTCTTTTGTGCCACTGTTTTCACTGTAAAGGGATTACTTTGTGTAACGTAAAGGCTGTTGCAGAGCTCTGAGTGAAAGAGATTAGCACCGGTCAGCATGGGCCTATAGCCACAGGTATAACTTTAAAGTTTATGTCTTAAAGCAAATGATGTAAAGATTTATCTTGGTAATTCATGGCACTCTATCTTACTGCACCTACATTTTAAGGTTTTTAATCTGTTCCAATATAAATAATTTTAATTACACTATACATTTAATAATGGTCATTGGACAGCATCATTCCAGTGTTTTTTTTAGAGATTTGTTTGGCTTCTTGCTGTTACATATGATGTGATTTTGTGTAAATATTGTGTAAAAAATGGAGAAGCAAAGTAATTGGTATAAGGTTTGCATTTGACACGAGCAGGGAGTTATAAATCCTGAGGAGCGCAGGTTGCTGATACAGTTGACGCTATGCATAATGAACAGTGTCTGTTCAAAACTGTCACGTGGAGTTGAACCCGAGTTTGTCCCCCCCAACCCCCCCCCCCCATGCTAACCACTGCAGCACAGCGTCTGGAGATTGGCAGAGCATCGTATGGAATTAGTGGAAAGTAACTCCTGCTGCAGGCCTGTCACCAAAAGAATCAGTGTCATATTGGGACTTACAAAAATACAATATTTATTAGAGTTTGGTTTTCATTAGTGCAGTCAGTTTTGAATTCCAGTGATTCAAGAAGTTTAACTTGGTACATATGGAACCTCAGTAAAACATGCAATATAGTCTACACCAAATTGGCTTGATAGGAGACCACAGGGGAAACTGTAGCGAGCCAGGAAGGGCTGGTGTCATGCCATTATTGGACATGCAAACAGGTTAGAGAGGTGATGTGGTCATTGCTAATGACCTGAAGATCAGCTGTGGATCCTTTTCAGAAAGCTGCTGTAGTTTATAAGAAATATTTTAGGTAATTATTTTGATCTTTGTAGTTGGCAGAGTTAAGGATTGCAAGTCTGTCTTGGTTGTTAACATCCACTCTGTGATTCCAGCAGTGTGAAGTTAGGCTTCTCTCCCCTCCATGCTTGTCCATTGTAATGGACTTTTCGGCAGGTATTTCTTATCCAAGGCAGTTGTGGTCTCAGCAGATACAAAGTCCTTAATCACAAAGCAGGATTTGGTTTGCGTGTATCCTTTTGAATAGCTGTATGTGTGAAATATGGGAGAATCTCAGTTTATCCTTATTGTGTCATGTTTTGCAGGATTAGATAAACTTCATCTGTCAAACAATCCAAGAGACTCGGAGACAAAGCCATCTGCAAATGGGCATCAGAAAACACTGTGATTAAGAATCGCCTGTGATCAACAGAGCTGAAAACATCAACCTCACGGCATTCCGGTCATCTCACCGGCATTTTTATGTTCATTTCATTTGTCGATAAGTTGGGTCCAACCTTGTCTCACTTTTTCTTTTTTTGATGCTGTGTGCTTCTGAGAAAGTTGGGTGTACCAGATTCTTCTCTTTCCAGTGAACTTTTGGTCTGCTTGTTTCTTTCCCAGTGAGTTAATGCAGGAGGTGCCTTGAAGACTGGAAGCTGAGGAGAACAATGCATTCCTTTTTATTTGTTGACAGTCTCGCATATTTAGATACAAACCTGCTACCATTTGAATGCACAGTACCTCCTGTGTTACACAGACACAGCCGAAGAGTAACTTTGGGACTTGGTTAAAAAAAAAAAAAAACAAACCTTTGAAGCCCTTTCTGGAAACGAAAACTGCCTGGTGTAGGTGTCCTTGACAGTAGATGAACAGTTCCACTGCGAACATACCAGAAATGAAAGTACCTGGCAGAGATGGCAGTTCCTTCCGTGCTGGTGGCAGTAGGCCGTTCGTAGTCTAGCGTCACAAAGCTTTCTCGGAGGGCCAGTGTTTTCAGCTTTCTGTTCCTAGCTCTAAATGCCAGGTTCTTTTCCTGGTAGCCAGACAATGTCTTAGTGAATAGAGTGAAGTACAAGATGAAGATTAACTTCAGTGTTAAATCTGAGCCTAGTATGCTTTGTAAAAAGCTGTGTAGACCCCCTGTCACAGCTCTTACAGTTCTGTAAGCTATTGTGCCATGGAGGTCATTTACCCTACCACGTACATCCCTGTAAAATCCTTTATGAACTACTGTGTATGAGCAGTACTTGTAATCAATGCAAGTAGCACAGGCCTAGGAGGCTGCAATTGCAGTTTTTTTACAGTCTTTAATTTGAAGTAAATTATTTCTGAATTACCAGGATTTCTGTTCAGTGGCATAATCCAGTATCTTTCACTCGCCGTGTTTTTTAAGGTGCACATGAACGTGTATATAGGCCTATAACGTGTAGATATCGTAAACTAAATTCTCAGATTATAGAGACAACATAGGTGGCTTGGTAAGTAAAACTTGTGTGTTCAGTCTCGGTAGTATGAATTTCTGCGGTGTTACAGTTTACCTGCTCAGAGGCCTTGGATTCGGGATGACGTCGGTGGGTGGTAACGTCAGTCTCCTGCGCACCACCGCGGCCTTAGGAATCCTTGAATCAGTTTATAGTAAAGAAAAAACCCATCAACCAAAACCCAAGTAAACATTTAAAATCTGGTTGTGCTTTTTTTTTTGCCCTGCCACCAGTAATTTTCAAACAGATTGGAATGGGGACACCTGCAGTGTGTGCCCAATGTGTAGCAAGTCGGGTAACCCTCCGCTTTGTTTCCTGTGCCTGTACATGTCTCTAGCTGGAGGTCTTGCACAGGATCAGGTGGTGACGACTAGCTCTCCAGTGTGGTTCTGGAGTATGATAGACCTTGTGTAAGAAACTCTTTGGCCGTTCCCCTGAGATGACTGCTCCGGGCAGCAGCCCTTCATGCTGTGTGAGCCTTTTTCCCCTGGAGTGTTTCAGAAATCAAGCTCCAGTGTACAGGAGGATTTCTGTTTGTTTGCAGCTGCCTTTTCTGACTTGAACTGGGGCATAATGTAAATACTGCTGTAGTGCATACGATGCTAGAGAGTTACTTTTTTTGTGTGATGAGTATAAATTCAAGGCTTATTAAACTGACTATCGATGTGTTGTACTGAGTCTTGGAAGACTTAAAGTAAAACTGCTTGATTTCCTGAAGATTTACAAGCATCTTTTCTGTTGTTTGAGTTTCATACTGCCACTTTAGTGAGAAACCTTTATCTGAGTCAAAGTTCTGCAACTGAGAACAGGCAGCTGTTGTGAAAAGCTGTTTTGAAATGTGTTTACATTGAAAATATCAGGAGAGGTTTATTAAGGGCAACATTCAGGTCTTCTCAGAACTTGGAGCCTTATGTATTAGCATTATGTATCCACTTGTCCATGCAAGTGATGGCATGGCCACAATTGTCCTCGTGTCTCAATGGGGCTGGTGAGTTGTGGTGTGAGGCTAGTCAGCTTTATTAAAGATATCTCTATTGCAGCTGTAAGACAGTTACTTAAATTCACTCTGCAACTGAAGAAATGAATTTAAGGAATAAATCTAGGGTGTGTGAACCAGCATAGGTCTTGCTCTTCATGCTTTTGGAGAGAGGTTTGTCCTGGCATCTGGGACCCAAGAACACAAAAAGGTGCGATTATGATGTGTACGGGGTTTCTGAAAGCGGGCTGGGCAATTTTTGAGCAGAGACAGTCCCTGCTGATAAACCACAAGTTTCAGGCAAGACTGACACTCCCTTTCACAGCAAATGTTGGGGCCTTGCCCATTCCCACCCCTCCTGCCGGGCTCCGCAGGCGGAGCTGCGTGTGTTCAGGCTGCCTTAGCGAAGCTTCACACCGAAACACGGAGGATGGTTAAGACATGGTTTCCAAAGTGGATGAGGAATTCGGAATGGCCCTGTGCGACTACTGACAGCGTGTTGTGTTAAAATCAGCTGTTGATATTGTGACACTGTCCACGTTAACCCATGCCTTTGGCCTTGAGAATGACATGCTTATGCGAAACTCCTCTCCAGATACAGTGCTGCTGTCAGACATAGTATGTGTAAGGTCGCTATAGACTTTTCACAGAAGCATATGGTCACTTAAATACAAGCAACTGGTAATTCATTAATGGATATCGACGATACATTCCTAGTATTTTGACTCATGTAGAGTCAGGTGGTCTATACCTTCAGGGTATATACAGCTGATCTTAGTAACATTAACATCTGCCTCACTTCTTATGAGGCAAAAAGCACATAAATGCTTCCATCTTCAACTAGATGCCACGCAAGACCAAAAAATAGGTGTAAACTAAGTGTTTTAAGTTCGCTGTTTCTTGGCTTTATTCTGTGTTGGTAGCACAGTATTAAATGCAGTGGCAGAACTGTAATATTGTGGGATTTCTAAGTGTAAAGCACACATACTTATCACTTTGAGCTAAAAATTAATAGTGTTGGTTACTGTACAAGTAACAGTTTTTGCATCCATAGGAAGCTTTGTTTACTGTCTGTAATGTGCTGTTTATCTCTGGCCCTGTTCCCCTGATACCTTTTACCCTGTTGACTGTTTAGTGTCATAGAAATTAAAGGATCTGAGAAGTTGTTTCCCTTGTCTGGTTCTGCAGCACCACTCGAGCGCCGCAGAAGCACGGCCGTCGCTGCCCTCGGGTCTGGCAGCTGGGAGTCGTGCGGCCCTGTGCGCGGTGGGATGAAGACGTGAGCGGGTGCTGCCCCCCATGCATCACCAGTAGTGACGAGCGTGAAGGGGGCTGCAGCCTGGCCTGTCGCACCAGCACTCTGCTCCCCCGTGTCTCCGCGGCAGCTGATGCTGCTGCAGGTGGTGTGCCCACTGCTCTGCCGCAGCGACAGGATGGCCCTTCGCTTAGAGAGCTTGGCCTGGAGTGAAAGGGAGTAAGGTAGAAACAAAGAGCAGCTGGTTTCTTCATGTGTGTGCCTTTCCTTGAGTTTTGTAAGAATGCTCTGGGCTACTTTCCTTTCTCTCTCTTTTCCCCCTCCTCCAGAAGCCAGGTGGGTGAGGTGGTGTGTGCACAGCAGCTGGGCCTTAGGCTTAGTGGACGAGCATCTACAACTTTGAAATACCAAATAGAGGTCAGCTAAATCCTGTTGTTTTACATATGCTCTGATTTTTAAGCTAGCAAATTTTTTTAATCCAGGTAAAGCAATTTCAGCAGAGAAAGTACACAAAGGCCATGTTAATAACCTCTTTAAAAAGAAGTGTCCTTAGTTTTGTTTAAAGAAGTATTGATGTGAACCTTCGCGTCCTTCACGGAGACAAGAGCCCCTATCCTGTAGCATTAGTATCGTCGTTACTTTGGCGTTGACTTGAGCGTACACTAACTCCCCTCCCCAATCTGCGTGTGTCAGGAGCTGAAATCCTGAGCTCCCGAATGTTGAATTTACTGTTGGTGAACTGGCAGGTTGTTTCAGCCACATGAACAGCATTTGAACTTTGCAAAAACGCTGCTTTTAAGTTCATTCCATTCGGTGGGAGAGGTCGAAGCCAACAGCCACCACCCAGGTGGCGACAACCTCTGCCACCTTCCGCCTTGCCCAGCGCCCTTGCCTCAGGCAGCGCCTGCGACACTCCTCGCTGTGACATTTCTTGTGTTTGCGGTGTGAAGGGACCAGCCCCTGGACTGCCCACAGCTCTGCTCGCTGAACTGGGTTAAGTCTGACTGGGACCACGGGCTCTCAGGGTTTCCAGGTGATAGCCCTGCATGTTCCTGAACCGTAGATTTTAATAGAATCATAGAATGGTTTGGGTTGGAAGGGTCCTTAAAGACTATCTAGTTCCAACGCCCCTGCCATGGGCAGGGACACCTTCCACTAGACCAGGTTGCTCCAAGCCTCATCCAGCCTGGCCTTGAACACTTCCAGGGATGGGGCATCCACAGCTTCTCTGGGCAACCTATCCCAGTGCCTCCTCACCTTCTCCGTGAAGAATTTCTTCCGGATATCTAATGTAAACCTCCCCACTTTCAATTTAAACCCATTACCGCTTTGTTTTCAGCTCTCTTTTCTTGGGGCTAAGAAGTCGTTCAGGGTTTTGTGGTGGCCTGTTTCTCTGGAGGCTGTTCGGTGTTTGAATGGCTTCTTGCTGTCCCTGGAATGCTGCATATTCCCCCAGCCCATGTCCAGAGGGGTCTCCTACGAGTTTCATTTGAACAGCGAGATCCTGACAACACTGGTCGGAATCTTAGGAAGGAGAACACATCTTGTGAGGAATTAACACTGTGACTTCCACTGTGCCCAGTAACTGGGGGGGGAAGTGACATGGAGCTCACTTTTGTGTGGATAGCCTCTCTTCCATTCTTTCTCTAGTCGATATTTAAAATTCTGTATTACCAAAAGTATGTTTAAAATCCTTAAGGTCATGAAGTTCAGGGACTGATGAACCTTTTCTCTAAATCTGCCCTTAATTCTTGAAGACATTCCCCATCTTGGCTTGCTTTCCTGTTTTATGGTTTCAAGTCATTCATTATCTCTCCAGTGACCTGGATGTTAAGAACAGATACTGGCCTAGATGTAGGCAAAACGTGAAGTAACAGAAGAACCTACACAGATCTGGTGTACATACCGGAAGGAAACTTAAATGGAAAGGGTTTTTTGGAAGTATTTCACAACTGAAGCACCTAAAACTTTTTTCAAAGAAAAAGATAACACATGTATCATTAGTGCATGGAAGTTAATTGTGTATTTTCTGAACATGCCAGTAATTCACTAACACCAAAAAAACTTC